GGCGACCGTAAGCGGTCAGGAGGGGCATTGGAGAAAGGCATGCCGTTGTTCAATGGACAAACACGCACACACATACGTATGTATATATATATATAATATGATTATATATATATATATATATATACACGAGTGTCCCCAGGAAGGATACAACAAGTTTGCCAAATACATAGAGTGCAAGGACTATTGCAAGTAGGAGCCGGCCAAGCACCGTGAATTCCACAACTCCACACTTGACCATGTTGGGCGATGGTAGTTGTGTCAAATCACGCCGGCTCGGCTGACGATCTAGATTCCGCCCACTCATTTATGTGGAACCTGTCAGGTAACCTTCAGAGGTTGATCGAGCCGCATTACCAGGATTGGATTTTGACTTCCCAAATTAACAACTGTAGAGCTTAACGTCGGACTGAGCGGCTGATTTCTCATCACTTCTGCGCTCTCGTCCTCGTTAAACCAATGTACGGACACGGCAAGCAGGAAAAAGATCCCGCCGAACATGACGTTCACCACATCCTGTCCGTCGACATCGTATGTGTCAGAAGCATCGTCGTGGACGGTCCGGAAAATCAACATTGGTCCGGTCTAAGGGCTTCTCCAGAAATGGTCAAATGCTCCCCATTAGAGTTACGCTACACCAAGCGAAGCAGCTCCACATAAAAGACAGCAAACAAGGTATCCGCGCTGGCGCTTGGCGTGCGCGTTGATACATCTTGTTCTAATCAAAGCAAAAGTGTGTCTGCGTGTGTGCCTGGTTTCTTATCACAACCTTTGACAAACAACTTCTGTAAATGCAATGCCCAAAGGACAATTGTACACGACACTCCTGAAAAGCACGCTTCAAAGTCCCTTCTAACCCACACCTAAGACCGTCACTTCTGCAAGGTACTTCTGAGGCACACTTCTGCAGTAAATACTTTGAACACAGGCCTTTTGCACATATATAGCATTATACACACCCCGATAGAATTTGAACAAACTGAAGATCAACACATTGCATGTTAGCCAAGTCGCTGTCCGTTCCAAGACAACCAAAGAACACCCCTCAAAGTGACACCGAGGCATAAAAGATCTGGCGATTCGCATCAGCCCTGCCTTGACGATGGGAGTGGAGTTGGTCTCCTGATGCACGAGTTGCGTCTTAACTGCAGCTAGCAACAACTCAGCTCGTACCTCTGCTCTCGCAGACGCCACAAATAGGATACCAAAGACAGCTTGTTTCCAGAAGCAAAAACAGCTATGGAACCGTTGAGCCATTATCATGCAATAGCAGGGTCACAATGTGAGCATGCGGCCACATGTCCAGCAACAAACATGTTCCTCGTCACTCTCAACAATGAGGAAGATTGCGACTTGAAGCTGGACCCCCCAAGGGGCTCCCAATTTGATCTGTTAGCCTGATGACAAAACAGGGGAGTCGATACAAGCAAGTCAAATCTGCTTATTTCGGGCAAAGAGGTTGACATAAAGCAGTACTCAACAAACACCAACCCAATCTTAAAGCGAAGGTAAAGCACTACTGTGGATGGACGAAATCCTGCAGCACTTTCAAACCATGGAAAAACATAGCTTGTTGGTATTTACAGTGAAATCATCATTCCAGGGTTTCTTGGTGCAGGACTTTGTCCATCCACAGGGTTGCAGCAATTTTGATCCGTACTTGCTGGATGACTTCTTAGGGAGGCCCAGTTCTAACCTCATTCCTTTGAGTGGCTTTCTCAGCTCACCAATATGAGCAGGCCATTGCTTGGCAAGTCCCTGCATGCCTCGAAGTCTGATGGCAATTGCCTCAGGCGATGCAGCTTGTGCAGGCCAAAAGCCAATGGCATGAGGCACAACGACTCACGTGTGGGTCAAGCTGTTGAACGAGTTCAAAGTACCTATCTTGGACTATAAGGAAGCACCCTCGGGTACAAGTGCTTCAACCAGCAAAAGAAATCCAGCCCCCAGGTTGGGCTTCTGGAACTACCTCTTGGGGCACTGCAACACGTGCAAGTTGGCTCTGCCAAGGCTCAGCGTAAGATGGGACCTCCACACAAAAACACATGTGACGGACCCAATGCGTCAAAGCCCGCCTTTCGTGGAATGCTGCCAATCCTGGCGGCCAAAACCAAGTACAAGGCCTCTGCAACATTCCTATGGCCAGGGAATTTCCAATCTTCATCACTGGAACGTATTTTACTCTCACAAACAGCACCCCCCTTCAGAAGTGGCTCAGTGCTTGCCCGATCGGGCAGTGTCAAAACATCAGTTTCTTCCGCCTGCAAGCTTCAAGCCTGAATTTTGCCTTTCCATGCCACCGTCGGACAGAAATGCTCGAGTTGCTACAACATAAGGCGACACAAGCCAAATCGGCCTGCGCAACTATCCCCTGTCAAAGGCTGCTTTGCATGCCAAGTCTTGAGGGGTTCTGAACCCTGTTGGAGCTTCGCCACTGCAAGCAATGGTCACTGAGTGTGAGTTTGTCCTGCATCCAGAGTCGTCTGCAGGTGTGCATGAAGCAGATCTGCAGTCCTAGCAATACAACTCAAGGTCCATCTGGTACAAGCATCCACCGGAACGACCGTCACGACCAACACCCCACAACTCCAAAACTGTCTCGAACTGATGACACCTCTAACTACCTGTGCAAAACGTCTCAATTTGCCTTGGCAATGGGGGATAGAGATCGTTCTCAATGTACCTATGGCCCGAAGACTCATAGTTCTCTGCGAAAGAAGTATGGGGTCAACATGGCCTTATTGCGTTTGCCGGAAGGTTTGAACAATCCACACTCGGAAATAGCAGAGCCCTAAGGGCCCGATCGATGCATTTCCCAGAAGATGACATTGATGCAAAACACCCGACACACACACACACACGGCAAACTCGTACTCGAGGGGTTTGGGGTGGGGGGTTCTAACGAACTTCTTTCGGAGTGGTCTGAGGAACTCAAGAGGCCACTGCCCTTGGCTGCAATCAACGTCTTGATGAACCCATAATGTGCATGATCAAAGGTGCATCCCACCACACACTCCAAGGCCAGCCCTTTTACAAATTGATGATGCTGGTGGTGCTGGTGATGGTGACCATGGTGGCGGCGGCGGTGGCGGCGGTGATGGCGTGTTTGGTCAGACAAGCCACTAGATGACGGTCAAGAACTAGCTGGAGCCTTTGGCATGCACGCTGAAATCGAGTGGTATGTCAAGCGGTTCCGTTTCCGCTCCAGCGAAGACTCTGACATGGGGTATGGAATTTTGACATAATTGCCAACAGATCCATCCTATTGGTTCCCGTGTCTGCTCGCAACGCAACTAGTTCAAGTTGTGGATTTGGCCCATGATATGGCTTGCTTCACAAATCCTAATATGGGCCTTCCCAAGCGCTAAGGTCTCAAGGCATCCGTCCTGTTGTGGACCAGTCCATGGCTTGCGCCCAAGAGACTCAGCAACAGCAGCATAGCCTGACGTGTCGCAGACGTGTCGGTGTCCACTGACCAGCGAGTCTGGTCGCATTTGGTTGCAGATCCCCTCGAAAGCGGGCGCACAGTGCTGGAGTCATGCTTTATGAGCATGGGGTACCGGGGTAGCCCCTGAGCGCATTATTTCGGCTGGGAAGAAGTCGGTTCTTGCTTCTAGGAGAACCAAGCTCTGGGTGCAAATGTCCATCTTGAGGGTCTCTGCAAGTAGTTGCCGCGAGGTTTGCGATCAAGACAAATCACTCGTATGCTGAGCTGGTCTGGGAGATAGCTAAAACGTAAGTAGGCCTTAGTTTATGCACTGTGAACCCCCTTATCAAGCTTTGTTGGAAATCAGTCAAGTTTGCTCTAAGGATACTGTGACACAAACACGACAAACGCAGCAAACCACAAACAAAGGTGACAGCAGTGCAACCACGGGGTGCAAGTATGCGATACCATCCGATGCAACTGAGGCATCCCTTTTTGGCGCTCGGGGACACTGAATGTCAAATGGCCTACTTGCCCAATGGCCAAAGCCCTAGCCTCAAGCCGATAATGTGCCGATACCAATCAATTGTGACGCATCTTGCAAAATGGCAGGACAAGCAACCTGGACTCTCCTGTGCTCCTCTTGAACAAATGCTGACACAGGACACTCATCAAATATTATTCCTAGCGGCTGGATAGTTACCTATATACTTTACGATGCAGCTCATGTCCTTAGTAACGCACTCATCATGCTGAACATGCAGACGCACAAGGCAGGCAGGCATGCAGAAACACATACGAACAAACGCAAACGGATTCTTTTGAACGCCGTCCGCTTTTCTCGCCACATCCAGCCTTGTCATGCGACCTGCCTGCAGAAGTCCGTCTATGTGAGGTTGATAGATACTTGCACAAGTTAAACGTGCTTTACCTGCGTGGTGACATTGAGGTGGTGATTCACCCTCATTCTCAATCCTTCCCACTAGATCTGTTAAATCAGTCACATGCTATCTGCAAAAGGGATGCTCAAAGCTCTGAAGCTCCCAGTCTGCTCTGTGGGACGGGTTTCAGGTCGGATTTTTGGTTCGGTACCAGAACTAAGGCCCTTGAGCCTGGACACGGAGAGGCAACGGAGGCAAGCCGTGTTTGCCTTGTCAATACTCTGGCCTGGCCAAACAAGGCGCCTCCCTTAAAGGTGGGTTTGAGGAGCATCAATATCCCCTTTGCAACGGGACCTACAAATACAGGCGGTACGTGATTGGGGTTGGACAAGGGTAGGCTGTACTACTATCTCGGGCTCTCCAACGGAAATTTGTGGAGAAACGACTGCGCAGTGTCAGCCCAGTCGTGAACAGGGATTCCTTGATGGGGATTCCAGCTCATGATAAGAGCCAAGTTTGGCTCCAAAGCTGACGGGGCAACCTTCATCCGGCAATCACAATTGGTGGGCGCAGTGATTTCAAAGGAGCTTATCTTGCGAGATGTCGGTCTCCAGTTGTACCTTTTGGTGACGTGAGTACACATTCCAACATAGTTGGTGTCAGGCTTTGAATCCCTTGCCAGAGCGGGCCACATTTTGCACCTCGCCTCAGATGACAGCAATGCTGACCAAACTCGGGTCAGCTCAGTCATAGGACCAGGACAGGTTGCCGAACTTGGCCCTAAACTTCGGAGAGTCGCAGTAATTCATCTTGCAGTAGGCTACGTCACACTGGAAGTTGCCCATGGCGCACGCGGTCATTGCCTCAAAGCTGTCGTGCATGGGCCCCGCAAGTGGAACGGGTTCACAGAACCATCATGAAACCTACCAGCTGAAAGGGTCAATGATCTTGACACTCAGCTTTGCCCTGCCCCCCAGACGCTTGAGATAAAGGAATCTCTAACCGCAGAGCTAAACTGACAGGCATGCAATCTCTTGCATGGAAAACGCTTCGCAGTAGGCAGGTCAAGTTCAATGAAATCCCAAACTCCGTCAGCAAATATTGCAGCAACATGTCAGTCTGTTGCTAATCCAATGCACTCAACAACTAGTAGCTTCGGCAAGCATGATTTAGCCAAACGCTGGCGGTCAACACAAGAAGCAGCAAGCTCATTCTCCAGGACGCCCATCTGAACGCCATGCTGCTTTCAGTCGGACATGCATCCCAGTCTGCTCATCACATTCACACATATGCGGAATAATTCAGCGTGCGTTGAGGAAGTGTGACTTGTCTCGACAGGTCATCAAACAAAAAAAATACACTTGGTAGCTGCTATCTTGTCTGAATTGCCATTGAGGTTCCACGAATTTCAGGTTCCCCACCGACGCTCCAGGGTTGTTCCCTCCAGGCAGAAAAAAGGTTAGGCAGGGGCCACGAACAATTTGATGCAAATCAATGCCTTCATCGTCCAGCCATTCCCAAAACAAATCTGCTGGCCAGTTTGCTCCTTGCAAGCTAGTACTCATAGCAAGTTGCTTTGCAAAGGCTAGCAGGCAACTCGCAACGAAGAAATAGAGTGTATATATATATATATATATATGAGGAGCGGACGAAACCCTTTACTTGGCCTTAGTACTTTTTTTAACGTCATCGTTTTTGGGGGAGACCTCATCGTTTTACAGTGTTTTCGAACTTTGGCAGATCCGGCTCCAAAATCGCAACTTTCTAGCACAAGTCTAGTACGCGAAGTACACTTCCGCAGCTCCAGCTCGAAATTCGCAACTTTGTAGTACAAGTCTAGTACGCGAAGTACACTTCCGCAGCTCCAGCCCGAAAATTGCGAAATACAATTCCGCAGCTCCAGCTCGAAAAGCGAAACTTGGCAGGCAGTACAAGTCTAATACGCGAAGTACACTTCCGCATCTCCAGCTCGAAAATCGCAACTGTGCAGTACAAGTCTAGTACGCGAAGTACACTTCCGCATCTCCAGCTCAAAAATCACAACTTTGTCGTGCAAGTCTAGTACGCGAAGTACACTTCCGCAGCTCCAGCTCGAAAATCGCAACTTCGTAGTACAAGTCTAGTACGCGAAGTACACTTCCGCATCTCCAGCTCGAAAATCGCAACTTTGTAGTACAAGTCTAGTACGCGAAGTACACTTCCGCAGCTCCAGCTCGAAAATCGCAACTTTGTAGTACAAGTCTAGTACGCGAAGTACACTTCCGCAGCTCCAGCTCGAAAATCGCAACTTTGTAGTACAAGTCTAGTACGCGAAGTACACTTCCGCATCTCCAGCTCGATCATCGCAACTTTGTAGTACAAGTCTAGTACACGAAGTACACTTCCGCATCTTCAGCTCGAAAATCGTAACTTTGTAGTACAAGTCTAGTACGCGAAGTACACTTCCGCAGCTCCAGCTCGAAAATCGCAACTTTGTAGTACAAGTCTAGTACGCGAAGTACACTTCCGCAGCTCCAGCTCGAAAATCGCAACTTTGTAGTACAAGTCTAGTACGCGAAGTACACTTCCGCATCTCCAGCTCGAAAATCGCAACTTTGTAGTACAAGTCTAGTACGCGAAGTACACTTCCGCATCTCCAGCTCGAAAATCGCAACTTTGTAGTACAAGTCTAGTACGCGAAGTACACTTCCGCATCTCCAGCTCGAAAATCGCAACTTTGTAGTACAAGTCTAGTACGCGAAGTACACTTCCGTCGCAACTTTGTAGTACAAGTCTAGTACGCGAAGTACACTTCCGCATCTCCAGCTCGAAAATCGCAACTTTGTAGTACAAGTCTAGTACGCGAAGTACACTTCCGCATCTCCAGCTCGAAAATCGCAACTTTGTAGTACAAGTCTAGTACGCGAAGTACACTTCCGCAGCTCCAGCTCGAAAATCGCAACTTTGTAGTACAAGTCTAGTACGCGAAGTACACTTCCGCATCTCCAGCTCGAAAATCGCAACTTTGTAGTACAAGTCTAGTACGCGAAGTACACTTCCGCATCTTCAGATCGAAAATCGTAACTTTGTAGTACAAGTCTAGTACGCGAAGTACACTTCCGCATCTCCAGCTCGAAAATCGCAACTTTGTAGTACAAGTCTAGTACGCGAAGTACACTTCCGCATCTCCAGCTCGAAATCGCAACTTTGTAGTACAAGTCTAGTACACGAAGTACACTTCCGCATCTTCAGCTCGAAAATCGTAACTTTGTAGTACAAGTCTAGTACGCGAAGTACACTTCCGCAGCTCCAGCTCGAAAATCGCAACTTTGTAGTACAAGTCTAGTACGCGAAGTACACTTCCGCATCTCCAGCTCGAAAATCGCAACTTTGTAGTACAAGTCTAGTACGCGAAGTACACTTCCGCATCTCCAGCTCGAAAATCGCAACTTTGTAGTACAAGTCTAGTACGCGAAGTACACTTCCGCATCTCCAGCTCGAAAATCGCAACTTTGTAGTACAAGTCTAGTACGCGAAGTACACTTCCGCATCTTCAGCTCGAAAATCGCAACTTTGTAATACAAGTCTAGTACGCGAAGTACACTTCCGCAGCTCCAGCTCGAAAATCGCAACTTTGAAGTACAAGTCTAGTACGCGAAGTACACTTCCGCATCTCCAGCTCGAAAATCGCAACTTTGTAGTACAAGTCTAGTACGCGAAGTACACTTCCGCATCTCCAGCTCGAAAATCGCAACTTTGTAGTACAAGTCTAGTACGCGAAGTACACTTCCGCAGCTCCAGCTCGAAAATCGCAACTTTGTAGTACAAGTCTAGTACGCGAAGTACACTTCCGCATCTCCAGCTCGAAATTCGCAACTTTGTAGTACAAGTCTAGTACGCGAAGTACACTTCCGCATCTTCAGATCGAAAATCGTAACTTTGTAATACAAGTCTAGTACGCGAAGTACACTTCCGCATCTTCAGCTCGAAAATCGCAACTTTGTAATACAAGTCTAGTACGCGAAGTACACTTCCGCATCTCCAGCTCGAAAATCGCAACTTTGTAGTACAAGTCTAGTACACGAAGTACACTTCCGCATCTTCAGCTCGAAAATCGTAACTTTGTAGTACAAGTCTAGTACGCGAAGTACACTTCCGCAGCTCCAGCTCGAAAGTCGCAACTTTGCAGTACAAGTCTAGTACGCGAAGAACACTTCCGCAGCTCCAGCTCGAAAATCGCAACTTTGTAGTACAAGTCTAGTAAGCGAAGTACACTTCCGCATCTCCAGCTCGAAAATCGCAACTTTGTAGTGCAAGTCTAGTACGCGAAGTACACTTCCGCCTCTGCAGCTCGAAAATCGCAACTTTGTAGTACAAGTCTAGTACGCGAAGTACACTTCCGCAGCTCCAGCTCGAAATTCGCAACTTTGTAGTACAAGTCTAGTACGCGAAGAACACTTCCGCAGCTCCAGCTCGAAAATCGCAGCTTTGTAGTACAAGCCTAGGCTGTACGCGAAGTACACTTCCGCATCTCCAGCTCGAAAATCGCAACTTCTCAGTACAAGTGTCGTATTTACAGAGCCGTGTGTTCGTTAAGGGTCATCGTTTTTGGGGGAGACCTCATCGTTTTCCATGGTTTTGGGATGTGTTACTCAAAAGCGTGCCCCGTCTTGATAAAGTGGTCTACGCGTGTTTTGTCCGTGGCTCATATATTCATACTATAGAAATATGTGTACCATGAATCCATCCCAATTCCAAGCCCATGGCATGCTTTTGACCCTCCCAGGCAAGAGATGTCGCTTCCGTTTCCTTTGTCTTTGTCTTATGCGGGACAAGTCAAACAAATGCCAAAAGGTCCATCATCATCATCATCATCATCATCATCATCATCATCATCGTCATCGTCATCGTCATCGTCATCGTCATCGTCATCGTCATCGTCATCGTCATCGTCATCGTCATCATCGTCATCGTCATCGTCATCGTCATCGTCATCGTCATCGTCATCGTCATCATCATCATCATCATATCATCATCATCATCATCATCATCATCATCATTGTGTTTGTTCACCAGTGGCAGTATCCGTGCTCCGGGATTGCTGCCGTGGCCGTGTGGGTGTTCAGTGCCGCTACATCCGCCGCCCTGGAAAGAGCCTGGATGTTTGCCTGCTTGCTCAAGTACAGTGCTGGCCAGCCAAGCTGCCGCTGGAGTTCGCTGGCCGGCTGTGCTGTGTGCTGCTGTTGCAAAGCAGGGCAGGCCCAAACTTCGTGGTGGAAGTCTGGGACTGCCCGCCACCCAGAAAGCGACAACAAAGCAAAACCAAGGGCCAAGGTGCCGAAATATCGGCCTCGCGCCGGGCAAGCTTCACCAAGGAGCCCCAGCCAGTGACTTTCCACTCCTGGTGAATCAGGGTTGGAATCACTTCCGTTGAGTGCCGTCCCTTAAGGACTCCTCCAGTGGACGTGCAGGGCTGCTGGAACTTGGATTTGATGTCTCCAATGGACATCAAGCAGTTGGCAGTCTGTCGTGCTCTTGAGTAGTTTGTCAATTGAGCATATTGCAAACAACCACGCAAGTGCAGCTTTGCTTGCAAGCCGCTGAAACAACCAATTGTGCTTTAGAACGTGCCACGGACAAGCTACGCACCGTTGTCCACCTCAACGGCAAAACAGGTGAATCCAGAGTCGAAACAAGCCACACAAGCCACAATTGAGATATGCTGGAATTGCAAGTTTGCCACAGAATCCTGGACAGTTGTCCCCAACCCTTCATGCCTGGACCTTCTGGCTGCGCCATGTTTTTGCAATTCGTCCAAAAGGCTTCCAGGTTAAAGTGCTTGACACGCTCACCCGTCGATACGTCCCGTTCTTCTTCATAGCTCACCGAAACATCGTTGTGTCGGAGCCCCGCAAAGGGACCCTAATCGCTTCCTTGGGGATCTGATGGGTCGTTCCCAGCTCCAACGCGCGAGCCAGCACCGCCATGAAATCCGTCCAGCCAACCTCTGTCCACCTGACGAGAGGGCTCCGTGCTAGTTGCTCAGCCTGCTTGGCGCGGAACCAATTGAACTGCAGGTAATGTGCCCGGCATTGGTGACTTTGTCCTACGCCCGGCATGAATCAGGCCCCCTCAATAGTCTGTCAAATGAGTTGGAACATGAGCAATGCGTCCCTTGCAGATTCCACCGTAGCCCCTGCCCGATAAAAACAAGCCTCGTTCCCCTGAAACCGGTCCAGCGACAAGTCATCTTTTCAAGTCGCGAACTTGCGGAAATGCAGACACATTGCCATTGCAACCCTCTGTTCAAATAACTAAGCATCCACGGAGCCCTCTGTTTCAACTGCCGGCACGCTAATAAACGCGTCCATGGGAACACCCTGATAAACACGTGGACGGGAATCCTCTGCTTCAACTGAGCCGTCAGTGTCAACATGTTAGCCCGTGAATCCTAGGTTTTGACTAAGTCCACTAATGCCTACATGTTTTTTCTGCGAGAACCCTTTGCTGCAAGTGAGTCCACCTGTGCCAACATATTTACAACGACGATTGCCAGTTGGCACGGCTGATTGCGGCAACAAACGCTCTGAGCACACCTTCGATGGGACGAGCGCAACTACTGTTGCTGGAAAGAAACCATGGACCGATTTTGGATTGGCTGAATTGATTCTCTTTGAATTCTGTGACGCTCATGGCCCCAACACTTAGAGTGTCAATGGATGGGCACGAGGTTCAGTCCATTTCAGCACACGCGATGCCTCGCCTGGAGCCATAGCGCTTGTTGCAAACCTGCTCGGCCTCGCTCATGGTGGTCCTGTCAATTTGGGCCGTTGCCACCCTGTTTCAACGTGTTTAATCTGATTGTTTCAAACTCAACTCCGGTTGGCTTCCGATTTCATGAGGGAAATTATGTCCGGCAATTTAACCTCATGTTGCACTCAAGCCCGCCTTTCAGTGACCTCTGTGTTGTTGCAGTGCCCTGCCACAAAGCAGTAGATGGCGTCGGCACCTCGACATGCAACCGCGCAACATGCAAACGAGGCTGAGACAACTGACTGTGACAAAAGAGAACACATCAGCTGCTGGGAATTTCCGTTGCGCATCTGAATTGAAGCATCGCTTTGGGGACCCTTGGGCTTTGCTTGAGCAGGCACGGGTGTGGTCTCTTTAAGGAACCCTGTTTTGAGGGCAGCCACAAGGAACACGGGCGCGTGTCGAGGGTTCCATATGATCCCAATTGAGACAAATGGGCCTTCTGATGCCTCCCTCTCGGCTCATCTCTCTGACTTCAGACAAAGAAATTCGCAATCTAGCTGTTCAAGCTTTCTCCTGTGTCTTGCATGTTCGTGTCCCAGCAAAAACAAACAAAGATACTTTGACATGTCACGGAAGGAAGTCCAGGCTCTCTGATTTGTTGTCTTTTGTCTGCAACTAAGGCATGCACCAACCAGCTTCAGCTTTTGCTGATACTGAAACATCCTCAGCTCAAGCAAACCACGGTCCGCGAGGGGTGACACTTTCCAGAACAATCCGCTTCAAGCTTCCTCGAACATTGGTTGGAGCCAGGCCCCCTCATTCAGCATCTATTCATTGCATGTGCGTGCCTGACTTTGGTTAGCAGTGAACTCATAGCATGTATCCCAACGTTACCCTAGCAGATACGTTGCGGGAGACTCATTATCCCAAAGCATCAGCAAACAAAGTCCTGCCTTTCATGTGGATACTGTGGATTCCTCTCCATGGCCATAGATGCCCAAGAACCGCTCTTTCTGTTAAAGCAGCGCGTCTTACTGAGGTCCAATCCGGCCCTTTTGTCCCCGCAAGCCTTACAGAGACGAAAGAAAAGAGCTGAAATTGAGAACTGTCACAGCCGAGCAGCTCTTGCGCATAGCTGTGAGGGTCCTCCTCAACAATGCACTTCTGCATTGTGATGGAATACATCGGATACGCACGGCACCAGCTTCTGAGGTTGGCCTGGTGGTGTCGACAAACAAGATGGTTGCATACATCTGTGGCAATGGCAAATTCGGGCCCTCGGAGCAAGTTGGATACAGAACCATGGAACAACTTGAATTTGACCCTCTTAAATATCTCGAAACACTGCAAAGTCCAGCAACTGACACTTGACAGCTTTTCTGCAACCCTCCGCAACGGCTTTGGAACCCTGGCTGCTCCATTTATTGCGGAGTCCGCTCACTTCTTACCTAACAGCCTTGCCACCCGGAGCGATGTGCTTGTCCATGCTCTGCTTCTCAGCGTCACTCAAGGGCTCCTGCGAACAAGCCGAGCAAAAGACAACAATCGACCGGCGCATGCGGGCATGGAGCGGGAATCTGAACAAATCTTAACTTTTGGGGAGCGCAACTTTGGAACTCGACAACACTGCTTCAGAATCCGGCAATTCCACTTTTTGAACTGGGCACTGTTGTGATACTGGACAGTACCACCTTAGACTTGCGCACTATTTCTCGGAACTGGTGATGGCACCCGCATGAATCTAGGGGATCCGTGCAATCAGGGGGCATCCAGTCCCGGCACCTCGCTCATTTTTCATTTTTCCTTTGTGGGAAAAGAAGCACTTTTTACGAGCTGCGTAACTAAAGACTTCGCAGCTTCAGCAAGCAATATGCTTCTGGTGTGCTCGATTTGCATGACGCGGCAGCACGAGTGGAAACCAGCCGCAGCATGCACGGGAAGCCAGGAAAGCAGCACGCAGGATTGCTTCTCGGAGGGTCTGGCACGGTGGCATGGCCTCTTTCGATCAACTTTGCGTAAAGTGACTAGTCCGCTGACCCCTCTGCTTATTCTTACTCGAGAGGGGAACGGCGTAGCCTGCAACTTGAAGGTGTTCTGTGGCTTTGCTTGCGCCGCTGGGGAGCCTGTGGCGGAAAAAGGTTGATTCCTTTGGCCGGTCTTGGGCCTGTCCTGGACCGGTCTGGGTATGTCCTGGGCAGGGCCTGTTTGGGGCTCGTTCTGGGTCCTGGGCCGTCCTGGGTCTTGCTGAATCTGCACGACAACGTGCCCTATAGGAGGGCTAGTCCCACTTGAGTCAAGAAGCCGAATGAGCAAATGTTAGACTGGTCGACTCCAGCATCGCTCCCGCGGTGGTCATTTTTCACGATGTACTGATGAAAAAGTAGATGTCGCGCTGGTAGCGCAAACCAAACTTGTCCAGGACTCGTTTGGGGGGCAGCCAAAGCTTTCCAGCCAAAGCAGGACAGGCAGCATTTCGCGCCCTTCTTTGGGTCGGCGCCAGCACATGGCAGCAAGCGACAGCCTCCATTGGGCGCCCTCCGGCCGCGCGAATTGTCGGGGGATGGTAATCCCACGTCGACATACCCGCACCCCTGGCATCCCTTTCTTTCAGCAGATCCCTCTGATTCACAACTAGGGTTTGTGAATCATGGCTCAGCATTCAGCAGATCAGAGCCTTCCAAGCATGCCTGCACGATGGTAAAAGCCACAAACTGCTTTTCTCGGCATAGGCCAACAAAAACTCGGAAAGCTGGGGGATGCCTGCCTGCTGATGTCCGAACCCCACAGCCAGTGTCAAGACGTGTCGTGGCAGATCAGAGGTCCGTGAGATGCGCCTGGCACTTCACCTTCTCGTGGCAGAACATGGGATGCGCCTGGCAGTCCACGGAACTCCTCGGGCGCACACAAAATGCAGGCTGCACCTGTCGTGAGCTTGCAAATACATTCACCGGGCCCGGCTTCTGTGCGTGAACACAAAAATCGAAGTCGACATGAAACCCACATGTCAAGCGCTAAAGTATGAACACACGATGGTGACATCCGTTTTGGAATAATTCCATTTGATGAACGGATGTGCGCTCTGCAGCATTAGATTTTCACAAGACCTGCTACAGCTTTTAGCAGCAGCTGTGAGTGAGAGGCGCCTTTATAACGCGCGTGAGGAATTCGCAGCATAATATAAGCAAAGAATCTACGCATTGGCCTTTTACTTGTTAGATTTGTCGGATGCGATCATCTTAGCAACGACGCCCTTCACCAAACCCCGTGGGGAAAAAAAGAGAGAAAAACAGAGATCAGATAGAGTGTCGACGAGTCGACGGTTCCTGTGTGGATTCACACATCATAGATGGAGCAAATTCAGCTCTGCTGTGATTCACAGGGTGGTGTTCTCAGCTGAACATGTTTGTCAGCTTTAAACGCGGCTACGTGGCCCTTGCTCGCAACGGCATTTGAACATTGGACACGCCATGCTGCATGGGTTCAGCCACATGTGTATGCCTATTGTCTGTTGGCAAGCGCACTGCGCTGGCTGCCAGGCCGATGCATGAATGTATGCATGTCATTTACATTTCTCCTGCTCAAACTTGCAAATCAGATGGATGTGCTGTATACATCCATACACGCACATAAACAAATATGTTCAAAGTGCCAAATAGCTTTTGCAAAACAATGGTGCACAAGTATCACGGAACCCAGAACTGAGCGCGGCATTCACAGCCGGGGTATTTCAAGTCTCACCTTGTTAACGACCATCTAAAGTATTACACAACTTGCCACCGGCATTGGTCTCCTGCATTGCCTGGGCCATAGGGTAAGTCAAATGTATCTATATCTCCTCAGTACTGCTCAATCAGAGAACCAGACCTTTCCTGCCTCGGCTCGGCTCTCCGAAAGCTAAAGCCACCTACATGGGAAACATATGAATGGGTATGACGACAACTGCCTGCGCATCGAACAAACCACTGGGATACTTGTTTACGTCTTTTGGTGTCCGAACACCAATGTGCATCTTGCACGCTGAAAGCGAGGCCCTGATCAACAGGTTGAGTGCCAGTTAGAATTCAGGGCTGCAACATGCCTTATGTGAAACAACTCCAAAGTCCGAGCTGTAGGTCGTGGGAGGCCGCCCAGTCCCCAAAGAACAGGCTAGGCGAAAGGACGGCGGCTGGGAGGGGCAGCAGTGTGGATATCTTTCACGCACGACATGGCTCTCTCATCTTGACCCAACGATAGACCAGCCGATGGGATCCATCGAACGCCGTTTGACCCCTGTTTTGGGAAAGGCTGTTCCTCCATATGGAGGAGCTGATTACTCATCTTGACACGTCCAGAAGGCAACCGTCCATCAAGCCGCGGTCCGAGTCATTCAGCATTGGCCATTTGACCCTTTTTCCTGGGGAAAAAAAAAGAAACAGCAGCCCAGAAATTCTGGATCGAACAGGGTGCAACTGCATCTTGAGCCACAGAGAGAGAGGCCGGGAGACGTTTACCAGCCTGCGGTCCAACGGAGTTTGACATCTGTTGTTTTGGGGAAAACCCTTCTAACCGCAACGCCGTCCGCTTCAAGCCGACGCATGTTGCGGTCGGAAGCCAAGGCACCCCTGGCCGTCCCAGGTGGGGCCAATCAGCGCGAGGGCCCTGCGATTCACCAGCCACTGCATGGACTGGGTGCTGGCAGCCTTGGCATTCGATGCTTGCTCGGCTGGGTGCCAATTTACAATGATTGGGGATTGACTTGTTGCCTTGATTGCGCTTTTTGAGGATGATTGATTTTGTGCGTCGCGTGTTTGAGGAAAAGCTGTTTTTTGGGGAAAAGTGCCTGCCGAGCACATGATACAAAAGGTGAAAGGGGGGATTGGCTCAATCAAGAACAACAGAACGGGGAATGTTGGCTAGGTAACTTTCTGGGAGGCGCCAGAAAATGGCAAAGGCCTAGCTGGCTAGCCCTTGATGTAGTACTTTCCATCCTTTTGGCGCGGAATGAGACACGCCTTATTAATATATGCATACATAATTGTCTTCGCTTTGCGGAAATCCCAATATTGTTTCGCCCTCCAAGGCAAGAGGACAATGCTGAACCCGCACTACTTCATGGCAAAGTGGGCTATTAAAAGGCATGCGTGTTTACAATTATATTTTGCAGATACGTACATATACATACATAGACAGTATCATAGACATACATGTCATGCATGCATGCATAAACATGCACGTCAATCAGGACTCCATCTTCTCCGCAGCAAATGGACAAGATCACACTGCGCATTGGGCTTCAAATCTGTTGCCAAAGCATGTGTGTCGTATACCTCTGGCTCAAGGGCCACAGCAAGCAGCGCCACAGTGCGCAAACAGTTACTTCACGGAGCCGTGGTCGAACCATAGCATCCGAACGCGACGGTCACCAGGCTTCGCGCACTCCTCTTCGCTGAGGACGCGTTGGTTTCGCTGCGAAGCAGGCAGGCATAGTGAAGTCCCTGACGTGGAGCTGGTTCTTCGGATCATTGATGATGGTGAGTAACGCCGGGTCTACCCTTCTGGATCGCGGCCACTTCTGGCCTGGTCATCCCGAACGAGCTTCAGGCGTAAAGGAGCTTTACTGAACGAGCGCAGCCACCAGAACCTGGCAGCCCTGGTGCGCGGAAGTGACAGTGATTTCATCGCAGTTGGCAGAGCTCTTGCTCGCATAGCCGGTCGGCCCACTGGCTCTGTCGAGCACGAAAAGTCCCAGCATGCCACCTGCATTGCGGAGAAAGTGGGGGGGACAGGAGGAGTCTCTCGAGGAAACTGTCGAGGCGGTCGCTGCTGAGACCTGACTGAGGACCAGGTGAGTGAGGTGTTCGCCGTGCTGGAGCGACGGAAGAGGACATGGAAGGGGAACAATGTCTTCGAGGCCGAAGTCAAGACGGACTGCGGCTCTTTCCTGAAGGGCGACTCTGGTTCCAGCGCTCCGCGAGGACCCCGAGGTTTCCCTTACGGTAAGGAACCTCGTTGGGGCCGGCCTGGAATCAACGGGGAGCAGGTGAAGAAGATCACCAAGAGCAAGGCCGGCAAGAAAGGACATTGGGTCGAAAGCAAGCTGCAGGCCATCACATTTGATGGTGCTCTTGGTGGAGAGTTGAATTCTCCCACTACTCGCGCGCCGAAAGTCGAGCAGCTCTGCGCGAGGTGTCAGTCGATCAAGGACATGCCCGAGGGCCTCACCTTCCCCTCCATCGAGGGCAGCCTCGCCATTGTGAATACTGGGGCGACGCAGGACCTCATCGGTCTCAAGGCCTACCAGGACCCCTGTCAGGTGCTCAACGGGGCTGGATTTCGTTCAGTTCTGGATGTCCTGGTCACGCGTCGCGCTCGGGTCCAGCTAAAGTGGCCAAGACAGCTCTGGTTCCAACTCTCTCCTAGTAGAGTTCCGGGAGTATTGCTGATGATGGTACTGGCAGCTGATGTACCGCCCTCTGTTGAGTGTGGGCCTGATGCAACCGTTTTCGTTTCCAGGAGCTGGATGTGGACATCAACATGAAGAAGCTATTAGGACATCGAGCCGTTCCTCTGCTGGAGGACGCTTTCCAGCTCCGCCAGAGCGGGCAAAGTACAACGTGGCCTCCGGAGCCTTTCACACCAAGGAGTAGGAGAACGTCTCGATGGCGGGGAACTGTTTTGCAGCGCCTGGGAAACAATAAGTGAGGAGCAAGGTAGCACTATGCATATCTAGGCATGAGGTGTCACGTATGTTGCCAAAGCATTTGCGCCTTATACGTCTAGCACAAGGGAGGGCCACATCAAGAAGCAGCGCATCAGGTACGCCATGGGGAAACAAAGGGACTCAGCTGCCACACCAACAAGCAACTGCACAAGAATTTGATCTTGTCCAAATTGGCAACGGACTGCTCATCCAGTGTTACTTGAGGTGGGCTTCCCCGAGAACAAGAAACACAACGTGTCACATGTGCTTTGCAAAAGTTGCTGCAAAAAAAGTAAATAAGGGTCCCCGGCCCCTTACCCCCTGCCTGTGAGGGCTGCTTAAGCAATAGCAAGCGTTTGTAGATAAAGGATACGTAATATTCTCCGCGATCCCAAAGGCCATCCACCAAGGACCAGTTCAGGTTGCCAAGTTTTGCCTTCCAGTTGCGAGCCCGATTGGTCAATGCAGCATTCATAATATTCCCCGCTAAACCCAGGGACACCCCCCTATTAATACAGTGGGGTTGATCAATATGGGGTTAACATTGTGGGAGTTGGCCGCGTTGAATCCCAAAAGTTCCAGGCAAAGGCAACCCGCCATACACGGTCCGTCTCCGCTTCCCGACTGCCAACCCCTCGCTTCGCAGATCCAGGCGCATTCAAGTCCTGGGCAAGATTCTGCTCCTGCGCCGCAGGATCGAGGGCGGATTTGTTTCACAAACGTCATTCAGAGCCAACATGGGAGGCCGTCGCAGCTTCGGGATGGAAGCCCCGACGGTTCGTAATGAATGTGCGACAGCTACGGGGTATTGAAGCAAACTTGTCTTGGCGAAATTGCCAATCAGAAATGCAAACGTAGATTCTGGGCAAATCGCGAATGTTAACGAACCTGAAATACGGAATTCCCAGGCAACAGATCTTCACAATGCGTGAGCTCATTTCCGCCCCGGGGTCATTGCCAGTAAATGGGGTGGGCGGGTCCACATTGTACGGATTTAGGCTGATTGGAGCGAGGCTACTAGGTAACAAACATTGCGTCTAAGGCTCACCCACACCCCAGAATGAATGAAGTAAATAGGTGGTCTGCAAACTGTTCAAGCTCCCCACCCCTTGTAGTAGGAATTTGGGGCATCTAAAGGAAACATCTACATAACTCAGTGCCAAAAAGCAACCCACGGTCGAGCCACGTCCACATCTACTTCCAACTGATCCTGTGTCCGCATTGCCAGTGCCTCGTGCTTGGGCACTGCAGTATGGACTAGGTTCAAAACACGAATAGTCTGTGTTTGGGACACACAAAGTCTTATAGGCTCATCAAAGGAACCAACAGTAAGCCCGCCATTTACAAGAGTCCCGGCTTTCCACCTATGCATTCAACAGGTGCTCAACCCGTGACAGGGGTACACCAAAACAGCCCCGAACTGCACACTGAGTCTTTCAAAGACCCCGGCTCTCCTGGACCTCGTCCTCCAACATAGCCGGCGCAGCTGGTGCGATGGAGGATCTTGGAGTATCCTGCCGAGGGTGATGGCCAGCATCTGAACGGCGCAACAACAACCTAACGGTTCACTACGAGCATTGGTAGCCATTCGAAACAAGACAAAGCAGTTCGCGACAGACTGCGCCAGTCTCTGAGCAACACCAGGCGTAGTCTTGGATCTTGTGACCCGACAAAGCCAAGTGTAGAACCTTGCAGTTCCATGAGAGAGTTCCACAATTTGCGTGCGCGAAGTCCAGGAATTAAGGGATGCGTTTGGCAGCGGGAGGGGCGAGGATGCAGGGGCCCTTGATTTCCTGGCAGCTGTCTTGGTCAATTTTGTGCAGGCCCCTGAGACGAAAGTCGTCGGGAAGAGCTTGGCTTGAAACAAACCGCTGCATTTTCTTCCCCGGATAATTGCAGAAGCTATAGAAGTGTGAAGCCTGGATTGTCGAGGAGGTGCTTGAGAACGGCAGCTTGATTTTCAGAACCAGGGCAAGTTTGCAAGCTGGAGGCATTGTTGCTATTAGAATGGTTTGGAACCCTGGTTGCACGGCTTACGAAATAGAGAAAGCCACAGAGGCTTTGGTGGATGATCCTCTGGGTCGCGTGAGGCAAGCGGTCGAGACCGCTTTGCAAGAATCAAGCAGGACCGCATGGTGGCGGATGACAAACGGCACATTCAATGCGGAACACATGAACACTGGGCTGATGGAAACGATGCCGGAAGAGCGGAAGGCTTGGATAAACAACTCTTGCATACTATGCAGTTGGCTCACATCAGCGAACTTAGGACTGGATCAAGGGAGGGAGGACCTGCACGTGCGGGAGTGGGGGAAGGGGGTCTACCTGACGCGCAAGCAGTGCGTTCCGGAGCTGCCTGGGAGCGCAGGGAGGCAAGGGGGAGGGCATAGGGCGAGTTTGGGATGGGAAACTGCCAAAATCTGCGCGGCCTGTGTGAGCCCATGGTGTCACTTTGAAGGTGCCTGACTTGAACAGACATGTTTCTGCCAACTATATGCGAAGCACCCTAGGATACTTGTAATTCTCCATACACGCGCAAACACAAACACTCCTCTGATGTCATTTTCCTGAAATTCAGGGTGTAATGGTGTACTTGGCGGGGCGCACCCTCGTGAAGTCAACGCATTGTATGCAAATCCTACTGCGCACACAACAGGACCGGGTCTTAACAGGTCACCTTTTTCAAGAATTCTGCGCGCACAATGGAACGAAATCAACCTGTCAGCTTGTTTTGGGCTTTTGTCCAGATCCGAACCACTCTGGGCACACCCCGCAGCCAACTAAGCTTGAAAAGCAAAGCCACCTGCAGAAGATTTGGCTTGATTGGTTGCGCTTGTAGCCGTCAGCAACAAAATACGGCTTTCCTCCGACTGTGGTAGATGATCCCAAACAGCATGGGCATCTTGAAAAAGAAACCACAATTGCTTAGAAGCATGAATCTGTACGCTCTTTGATGGCGTTGAATGTCCGCCTGGGCACATGCTTCCGTGTCGAGTTGACCCCAGCAACTATTGCCCATTGATTAAACTTCAACCCAAACATTGATATGACAAGAGCTTCTTTGTTGGCTGGTTGCGCTTCCAAGTTTTATGCATGTCTTTGGCCCATCTACTCATTGAGTTGCTTGTCATTGGATGTCTTTTTTCCAAGGGAGAAGAGCAATCGCACTCAACCAAGGGAAGCAAAACAAGAGCTGCTACATGCAGGTGATTCCTTCCGACCCGCCAAAGGTGTACCCCTCTTCAGTCGTCACCTTTATCCCATGTTTGACAAGTCTTCAAACAAATGACTACCAAAACCAGGAAAGGCATGTTTAAACGCATTCACAAACTGTTATCTGGGAAGGGTAAGGGACATTTCAATCATTTGGCTGCTAAGAGTAAACAGGTGACGTGCTGGTACAATGTTGATTCAAGAAACTGGAGCGTAGCACAATTTCGGGCACCTTAGCAAATCGCAGCCTGAATTTTCCAGGAGTTTCTTAAAACAAGCTCGGACTTTCTCGACTCGCTACCCTGATACCCTGCAGGATCTTCGCCCTTGCAGCCAAAAGCTCGTGGGAAAATAGGCGGGGGGGCAACAACATTGTTTCAGAGATTTATGCCTTTGGCTGGGGTTGCTGCAAAGAATGACGAGAGGGATGATCCTGTTTGACCGTGATTAGAGCAGGTCCAAACGGGACTGTTCGTCACCGGCAACATATTAGCATTGTAATCAGGCTTCTGCAACAGCCCCTGATGATTCTAAAAGACCAGAAGACCATCAGACTTGAGGAGACTTGACGCAATATGTGGTGTTGCGCTACCCGGACTATGCCCGGCCCCAAACTCCCCGTCTACAGTTGGAAAAATAACCAAAACGGGCGTAAGGCTGTTCATCCCGAGGAGTAGACCACGCCAGTGCTTGATTGCGAAGCCGCGCCTTGAGGTACTTCATCCCGCGCTGCAGCAGTTCCTGGTGGAACTGCAAAGTCGCGACAGGTGGAGGGAGTGCTTGGTGATTGGCAGGGCGGTTGTCCAAATTGCAAACCCCTTTGGCACCCCTGGCGCAACATGCTCCGGAAAAAGGTTCCAAAAAGAGGCCCTGCTTTGGACACAACTGCTAGACCCTGACCTACAAAAGCCCAACATGGCAAAAATGACTAAACGCGTGACGTATACCAATGAAATGCTGGTGAGTTGGCGCAGCCTGGGGCGTAAGTTAAGACTTCTGCTTTTCTGAGATATAGACGTTTAGTTGCCTGCTTTGGACTCAACTACTAGAGGTCCTGAACTTGGGTGCCCACACGTTGTCGACCGGGTGTTGAGCACTGCCAAACATCGGCTCTAAGCGCGGAAGTGCGAAAATCCACTGCCACTGGCCTGGATAACAAGGCATACCGCAAAGTACCAGGGAAACCATTGCCGATACATCGATCCCGAAGCAGCCAAACCTCGTTTCATGCACTGCAAATATCAATCTGCAGCGCCGAGCATGGCTACGTGATTTCTCAACAGAAGGCCAATGAAAACCACCAAAGTCTTTGATTGCGCAAACTGCCAGCCATCTGGACACTTGCAAGAATAAACTTACTATTTCCCAAATTATACCTGACATAACCACACCAAACCAAGCCTCAAAAACGGAGAGGAGTCCTGTGTGCTCTGAAACGATCCGGCCAGTGCTCGCGCGGAGTCCTGCCGCATGGCCTCTATCATCTCGTCCTCCTCTGCCTCCACATCGCAGGATGAGGACCACACACCTGACATGTGCCCTGCGCGTGTATGACTGTGTGTCTCGCTGTGTCTGCGTGTCTGCGCGCGCGGTTGCTTGGGTGCGTGCGTGCGTGCGCGCGGGCACGCGTGCGTGTGTGCGTGCGTGGGTGTGTGTGTGTGTCCATCCCTGTTGCCAAGGGCCGCAAGCTGGAAGTGTTTGCGAATTGTCGAGGTGGCGCCGGCTATCCGGACTCTCCGTTTCTTTTCCAATATGTGGAGTAGGCCACAGCCATCCTTGGGTCTAGTCATCTGTGGCCCTGACGAATAGGGCCAAAGGATGACGAAACTCCACTTGAACTACAATTAAAGTGCATGATCCGAACCTAGAGTGTGCCCGCTGGGCTTGATCCTGACCCTCGCAGAAGAAATGACACAACAAGGACCGAGAGAGGGGGAACTTTCACAAGTGTGATCCAGGCAGTAGTTCGTTTAACGGGCCGCCTGCGGTAGGCTAGCCTACTGTGTTTGATTGAGCCTTGCCATCGGCTCGTGCGCAGCATTGCTCATTCAGTTGACCCTCAGATCTTCCCACTCAGTTGCCATTTCACGGTCAGTGCTGTAAAGCACAACAGAGACAGCCAGCGATGTCTATCGCCTCAGAAACCAGCACGCCCATTGGGTCTGAGAGGCCGTAATCCCCCCGAATGTATTTGTTGGATGCTGTCTAGGCCGTCGTTGCAATTTGCCATATAGACCTGCAGCAAACCGTTGGTTTTTTCTGGCCCGCGGGTGATTCAAATACCTGGCCGGGGGCCCGGCGTTAGTGGAGCATCTCGGATCTGTTCGTTATTTTTGTTGTTTTCTTTTTCTTTTGCTTTTTCCTTGCTTTGCGCAAGATCCCTTGGCCCTTTTGCCACGATTCTCTTTGCAAGTCACGGTGACTGCGGCGCGTCTGGCTCTGTACATGTCACAGGGTTTGTAGCCTTTTCAGGTCTTGTTCATTTTAGTTTGGCCCGCGGGCGTTTTACACACCTGGCTGGGGCCCAGCCGTGGAATTTGGGTTCTGCGCAGGCTACAATGTCGTGAGCCGTGGCGAAAGAAGTGCCGCGTGGCTGATTGTGTGTGTCCATCCCTGCTGCCAAGGGCTGATCTCAGTTCTTTGTCAGACTCGCAAGCTGGAAGTGTTTGCGAATTGTCGAGGTGGTGCCGGCTATCCGGACTCTCCGTTTCCTTTCCAATATGTGGAGTAGGCCACAGCCATCCTTGGGTCTAGTCATCTGTGGCCCTGACGAGTAGGGCCCAAGAATGACGAAACTCCACTCGAACTACAATTAAAGTGCATGATCCGAACCTAGAGTGTGCCCGCTGGGCTTGATCCTGACCCTCGCAGAAGAAAGGACACAACAAGGACCGAGAGAGGGGGAACTTTCACAAGTGTGTGTGTGTGTGCGTGCGTGTGTGTGTGTGTGTGTGGGTGGTTGCTTGTGTGTGTGTTTGTTTGTTTGTTTGTTTGATTGATTGTTTGTTTGTTTGTTTGTTTGTTTGCTTGCTTGCTTGCTTGCTTGCTTGCTTGCTTGCTTGTTTGTTTGTTTGTTTGTTTGTTTGTTTGTTTGTTTGTTTGTTTGTTTGTGCGTGTGCTTGTGTTCGTGTTCGTGCTGGTGCTGGTGCTTGTGTTTGTGTCTGTGTGTCTGTGTGTGTGTGTCTGTGTGCGTGTGTCTCTGTGTGTCTCTGTGTGTCTCTGTGTGTCTCTGTGTGTCTCTGTGTGGCTGCGTGTGTCTCTGTGTGTCTCTGTCTCTATCTCTGTTTCTGTCTGTGTCTTTGTCTCTGTCTTTGTCTCTTTGTCTCTGTCTCTGTCTCTGTCTCTGTTTCTGTCTCTGTCTCTGTCTCTGTCTCTGTCTCTGTCTCTGTCTCTGTCTCTGTCTCTGTCTCTGTCTGTCTCTCTCTCTCTCTCTGTCTGTCTGTCTGTCTGTCTGTCTGTCTGTCTGTCTGTCTGTCTCTCTCTCTGTCTCTCTGTCTCTCTGTCTCTCTGTCTCTCTCTCTCTCTCTCTCTCTGTCTCTGTCTCTGTCTCTGTCTCTGTCTCTGTCTCTGTCTCTGTCTCTGTCTCTGTCTCTGTCTCTGTCTGTCTGTCTGTCTGTCTGTCTGTCGGTGCGTGCGCGCGTGTGCGTGCGATTCTGTGTGTGTGTGTGCGCGCTCATGTGTCATGCCATTGCTTGACATTTGATGACCACAACCAGTGCCAGTGTCGCCACCGCCAACGCAAGTGTCACCACCACTGGTGCCACTACCACCAGCCCCACCAGTCCCACCGCCAGTTCCACCCCCACCACTCTGACCAACAGTCCCCACCACCAGTGCCACATCGCCCAAATACAGCCCCCAAAGTTGCCTGCCAGGAATGCGAGTAAGACAGCCGTTCGCATCGTGCTCAAAAGGCTCTGCTGACCCTCGCCCAGCTAATTTGGCAGATGCAATACATGATGTACCTTGATATTTCTGGGCTGGGGTTGTAAAAGGCTCCTTCGCAGCTGTGCTTAGGGTTGAGATGTTTGGGCTGAGTTCCAAAAGTCTCCTTCTCAGATTCTCGGCTGTGCCTGGGGTTTCGCACTAAGCCGAGAGCTGCGCGTTGGTTGGCCGGGGAGTGGCGGGCGCAGATTGTCAAAGCCACGCCGTAAAATGCCGCAAATGGCTTAATATTGACCCCTGATTCTGACTGATAAAACCTCAAACACCTCCTGGCCTAGCAACCTTTGATTCTAGCCTTGGCCATTGGCGTTGTTGTGGCCAGCATCGAGAGCACAATCAACACGATCCCAACCGCTGGAACTGTGAGAATTGGGCCAGAAGGACCAAGCAGGAGCTGCTTTTTAATAGCGTAGGGTGAGCCCTGAGAGTGCGGCTGGGAGGACCCTAGGAACATCGGCAACAAGGGACTGCCGGGTGGCCTCATGCGGTAAATTTGAGAGTGATCCAAGTTGGGAATCATGGTCTCTCGTTGGTGGAAGTGCAATATGTTGGTAATCCAGCCCATGCTGGATACTATGGTCCCAAAACAACCATTTATTTGGACAACACATGATGTGGGCACGGCTGAGGTGCACGCACATCTGTCGTGCGCAGAAAAAGGGTGATTAAGAAATCGGCTGCGGCCTAAGGAACCACAACGCCTTCTCTTACCAGAATTGGCATCGAACCTTTGACCTTGGAAAGAGGCTGAAACAAAGGGGGGATATGGATGATTTTAAGTTCCATGCTTATCTGCCGAAAACAAGCAACCTATCACAATATCATTGTCTAAAAGCTGGAAGAGGAACTCAGAACATGTGTCAACCGGTTGTGGAATCGATGCGGGCATATCCCAAGCAGATCCCCCTCTTGGTGTTTGTTGCAAGCGAATAGAAACCTAAGGTATGGGGCGGACCCTTTGCATCGTTGGCGAGCCTTCTTTGAGGGTGCGCTTTCAAGGGATTGTTTTGGGCAACCAAAGGACTCCGGCCACCCGGAGTCAAAACAAACCACGGGCTTGGGTTCGTCGCTTTGCGTGCGGCTTCGTCCTTCTTCTGGGCTGATCTTTGAGCCCAGAGTGGCACTAGGCCGCTAGGCCAGTGTCGCAGTCTTGAGATACCGGCCAACTCTTTGACTGCGCGAAGCATCTTGGTGGTGTTGGATGTGTGGAACGCCAAGTTTGCCATCAAGAGTGGGTAAGCAACGTCGTCTAACAGCAGCTACAAGGTGCCAATGTTTCTAGACCAGGCAACAATCAACAAGGAACGTCCGCCTCATGCTGAGACTCAGCTGACCTGCATATGACTTTCACTGTGGCTCATGTCTTGGCTGCGTAGGTCTTACTTGCATTGCTCAGGACAATGCGCGCTTCGATTCTGTTTGGTGGCTTGGAAAGTGCATCACTGGCGAAGATGAACTTCCAGCAGCACCCCCAACATAATCAGCAACCAGTACCCTCCTGCATGTTGACATTGTGGACTAAGGCAAGCTTCCTGGGGCGCACAAACCTGCTTACAGCAATCCCCCGCCAGGTATCCTTGCTAGTTTGGTGGAAGGCGATTATCAAGAACGCCTCACCAAGTCAAGCCAGCATAAAGCCACCATACATCAAACATTCAGAGGACCACAAGCACATGCCTAATGGACCCATGCAAGGGCTTGCCCTCTTTTTGGTGGCTATTTCAGTACCGCGCCAAAGAAGAACCCTGATTCAACAACAGGGTGCTGCGTTGGAATCCCTGGGCCAGTCTTCAGGGGCAAGCCTGGAATCGCTCCACTCGCAACTGCTCCACGAATGCTTCGGTTGCCCAGCTCAGACATTGAGATGTCCTGGCAAAAGGCACGACCAGCTTAGCTTGACACCTTGCCTCCGTTCTGGGAGCGGGGAAGCTGTTCCCGAAACTTGGCGGCTCTCATCGGGATTGCGCAAAGGGGGCTGGCCCGGCGATGTTGGCTCTATTGCTGGCATACGCTTTTTGGTACATCCGTTTGCCTGAAATCAAACTTGTTTCGGCGTTCGCCATTGAGCTCCATTACAAGCGGCCGGAGGCAAAAGGCACACCACACTTTGGACATGGCTTTGTTGAGGCTGGACATACGTCAAACTGAAGATCCGGGTAGTCAACCGTGGCATGCTGAAGGCGCAGACTCAAACGGATCAACACCTTTCTGCCGATGAGGCTGGCCCGGAATCATTTGTGCAGCCTCTGAAATTCAGCTCTCCAAAGGAAAGTCAAGGCCGGCGCAACGAAGTAAATATCAGTTGTCTGTTGGTCCTGGGAGGCCTGGAAATATTGATCCATCCCTCGTTTCTTGCTTTCTACGGCAGGTTGTCTGAACTAAACACAAATAGTACATGATTCCCTTTGCCGTTCCTTTTTGGGGGTCTTGCAACAAATCACAAGCTCTATTCTATATCTCCTTGCCCAGCACAAGGTGAGGGTCGAAGGGGACACCTGGTGCTGTAAATGCACAAAGGAAGAAGCCCCCATACTGTCACTGTGCGAGTCTCGCACCACAGAAACCTGGATCGAATATCTGATCGCGTCAATCAAAGACACACTTCAAAAAAACACCAAGCAACTCCAGACTCTGACAGAGCACGACCGGGAAACCAGCAACGAGGACACCACCTGAGCGTTGGTTTCTGCTCTTCTAGAAAAGCGTTCCGTTTCTTGTACGCAGCAACACCTTTCTGCTTCTACTGTAATCGTTTCTCCGTGTTGTTTCCACGCACGCCAACTAAAACAATCAATTTCATATCAGCCACAAAGCTTCCACTTCCGCGAAGCCTTCCGATCCTTCCGCATGCTTCCGCGCGTGTGGCGCGGTGCACATTTTCAATAATAATGTCCCTCTCCCTACTGAATTAGCTTGCGGCAAAAAAAACGCCGCTCACCTGAGACAGCATTGGGACACCCCGGAACAGCAACTGGCAACCAAAACACCGACGGAACACAGCGCCCGAGATGCCACCGGGACACCAGAGTCGGGTCACAGCCAGACCACACCAGTCAACTACAGCCCGCGCAATCGTTCGCACAAGGCCAAAGAACATCCGACAGGACACCAACCTTTTTTGTACGATTCTCTCAGGAAACACCCAAGCCACCAAGCCATGGTTCATGCTTGCTTGCAGATCCGCCTACTGGTTCCGCGGCGGACTCCGCGCGGGCGACGAAGGCGATCCATTGAAGTGGTTGTGCCGCTCGAGAACCGTCCCCATCCTCACACCCGGCTTCGTGTCCCGCAAGGTGCTCGTCTTGGGGGAAGGGGGTCATTTCGGATCTTTGCGCCACCAAAACACAGTTCAGGAGGTCTAAAGCACATCCGTGTGCACAAACTCGGGCATAAATTACTATTGTAATATCTCAACCAACGATTGGACATGTCTAACGATCAAGAAGCACTAAACGTGGCTCAGGTATGATGTTCCGATCAATTATGGCAATCACGCCCTTCACGTATCGTTGCAGTGTCGGGGGCTTCGCCAACAAGTGCGAGAAGAGCACGCCAATTGGCGGTGCCATTTTCTGACAAGGGCAAACAAGCATAAACCCATGTCATCATGGTCCTGCAGGTGTGGAAATTCCATCGGCGTATACCAGCTTTCTTCAAAATGTGTTTACGTTCACGAGCCAAAGACATCATAAACGCCTTTGGCGGCAATGAGCTGGAGAGAGCATCGGCGGTCTCTTCAAAGGATAAAATCAAAGACTTTCTTGAAACACGCGGAAACCCACAGGTGGGCTGCAACAAAAGACTCTGCGCATCGGTGCTTGCACGGTTCCAAGCTGATGCCTCGACGACCCATCCAAAAGGTGTGTCTGATGCAATGCGATTTGAGGTACGGCTGAGTGATGTGGTTCAGGGGTATGTCTCGAGCAAGTCGGTAGGTATCCCACCTCTACATAAACGAGGCACTTTAAAACAAACAGGTCGAGATTCACTGCATGAGATTTGTTTGCTTTTGGAAGTTGACATGTTGTTGAAAAGGATCTCAAAACAGAGTCGCACCAGCATCATCAACAATAGCACTACCATCGGGTAGTTGGCTTGCTTTAAGGTGGGTTACGTGTCGGCTTGGAATGTTGTGGTGGGTTTTGCACTAAAGGGTGGGTCCAAGTCTGGTTTAGGATGGGTTTCAGGTGGGTTCAAAACTGTTTCAGGGCTAATTTAGGGCGGGTTCAGGCCGGGTTGAGTTGGATTGGGGTTGGATTTACACAAAGCCGAAAAAACCAAGCACAGTCGCAAAACAACCAAGAAAAAAAAAGAAAGGCGCCCCTAGAAAATTAGCTGTACCATCCTCTTCTTGCTTCACGTGAAGCCACGACTTGGGATTTGTAGCCCATGTCCGCACATGAAATGTCAAGGCTTCCTGCTTTGGCGTCAAAGCCAAAGCGACATTGCCTCATCTCACGCCGAGCAGCGAAGAGGGGAGAAAGGAGTGCTGGACTATGTCCATCTCCTGACGTACGCTTTGCTCTTCCTGTGCAACAGTTCCCCTGCGAAAAGTTTAACTTTTATTGGGCTGAAATGGAAATCCTTAAAAGCTAAGAAGCTGAAGCTTGAACAGCCTCCTTTTCGTGCTTTTGGACATTGGACCAGGTTCCGGTCGCCAACAAGCGATGCCACCCTGGTGCTTCAACAGATCAAGTGCCCTGCACCCGTGTAGCACACAATCACGCACAAACACTACCCACGCAAGCACACACACAGACACACGCACACAAACAAACAAACACAAACAAACACAAACACAAAGACAAATACAAACACAAACACGCATTCACAACAATATACACAGACACACACAGACACACACAGACACACACAGACACACACAGACACACACAGACACACAAACACACACACACAGAAACACACCAACACACACTGACACACACACACACACACCTGCACGCACGCACGCGCGCATCATACACAAA